TACCCATTTTTCATCGTTTACGGTGGCGCGAGTGTGCGTGTGTTGCTGTTTTGTGTGTGTGTTTATATTGGTGTATGGCTGCAGGACGAAAGCATCCTGCAAGTGACTGACTTGCGACTCGGGAGCAAAAGCAAAAGCAGCAAAAGCAAAAGCAGCAGGGGCAGCAAATAGAACCGAGGAGCTGTAACAACACCTCGCATCCTTGGCATCCTTGCCGTTCGCTACTCGCTGTCAAAAGAGATTTTTTCAAATTAACTTTTCATATATTTATGTACGTTTACATTTTTGAGCTCAACCCCCATTTGGCCAGAAATTACATACATACAGAACATTCAGGCAAAGCAGAACTGATCAACATAAATTTAAAATAAAATATTTACTCATTATAAAAATATGCTTTAAAGTATAATATTTGAAAAACTTACTTTTATGAAAAAAAAAATAACTTGAATAAGTTTATTAGGTAAAGCCAAAGGTGTTTGCTTTGGAAACGTGAGTTTACTTTAAATTATATGATATTTAATTTTTTATATTTTAAAGACTTTACTTCGACCTCCTACTGTACTTATATTTTTCTATATTTTATTTTTTTATATTTTAAAATCTTTATTTTGACCTCCCACTGTACTTATATTTTTCTAGAACTTTTCCATAACCAATTTCACTATTTTCTACCTGACTTCTGACTGAATGTGTCATAATCGCTTGAGTTGCGAAAAAGTAGTAGAAGTAAAAATACAAAATGAAGCAGCAATGTCAAACAAAATATAATTTTTCATATATCGTAGACACTGTATACAAAGCTTTGGAAAAATATCGTTGAAATTTTGGCGATGCAAATAGTCAACATTTCGGTTCTTGTTTCTACTGCTGCTTTTGTGTGCCATGAATTTTTCAAAGGGTAAACAACAGTTTCCCTTTAAATATTTAATATTACGCCAAAAGTTATCTTTGGCTAGAAAATGTGAAGTAATCTTGCACAGAAAAAAAGGCTCCCTTTTTGGTTAAATCATTTAAAATCATGGGAGAAAGAAATCGAACATCAATTAATCAATTATATCTAATTTCTTTGCTTTCTTTTGGATTTGAAAGTGACCTCTTCCTCAATTTATTTTAATGTTTGTGATATATTTTCTCATCCCTATAAGTTTGCCCACCATGATTCAAATATCCTTGACGAGGGCATTAAATGCGTCACATTGCGCTACACCTCATTTGCGACAAATGCAAAATTATGAAGAAAATTAAAAAGAGGAAAGCAAAGGACCAAAAAAACATTAACAAAGAAGTAGAAAAATAAGCAAGGCTATAAATAGGGAAAAGAGCTCACAGCTCATTGGACCCTCGGCCGCTGTCTTTGCGAAATCCATTAACTTTATTAAGGATCTTTAATTAGTTACCCCCAACTGTCCCACTTTTCATTAATTACCGGTGCGACCTGGACCTGCTTCGAGGGCGGAAAAGTCCTGTCTAAGCCATCAGATGAGCCGAAATGAGTCGAGTCTTGGCTTGGCAACCACTTAAGGACACTTCTTACCTTTTGATGGCCGCCTGCGGCCAAATAAATTACAAACAGCTAACACAATGGATGGAGGTCGACTGACACTCCAGAGTTTTGATTGAACACTCGCATCCCAACTTTTGACGTTAATCTTTGATTGAAGGGGGCGACGGCGATGGCGGCGTCTTGGTTTTCGCTGACACTTCATTATGTGATTTTAATATGAATATACATACAACAATGGCCGCCAAAATGGAGGGTAGTTTTTGGCCCCTTCGCCTCGGCGATGGAATCTCATTTGGACCCCCGAAACGTTTGATCTTAATTAGTGTACTTGAACGTACTTCGTCCCATTTCCCCCAGCTCCTTCGATTTCGAGTGTCGGCTTTGCATCAGCGAAAATGACAAAATGTCGCAAATCACTCGGGTTTGCGAATTGGAATGGGAGGTCCTTGATTGGCATCGTTTTCCTCCCGATTTCACTCCTGCCTCGCCTTTTGTTTAAGCGGATTTCATTCGCATATTAATTGAACTTTACACAGCAGCAAATAGTAGGCAACCGACGAAGCACTAATTAAAGACAGTTTTACAATAGGATATATATATAGAACTTAATTATACCCGTTACTCGTAGAGTAAAAGGGTATACTAGATTCGTCGGAAAGTATGTAACAGGCAGAAGGAAGCGTTTCCGACCCCACAAAGTATATATATTCTTGATCAGGATCACTAGCCGAGTCGATCTAGCCATGTCCGTCTGTCCGTCTGTCCGTCTGTCCGTCTGTCCGTCTGTCCGTCTGTCCGTCTGTCTGTCCGTCCGGATGAACGCTGAGATCTCGGAAACTATGGGAGCTAGGCTATTGAGATTTGGCGTGCAGATTCCTGAGCTTTTTACGCAGCGCAAGTTTGTTTCAGCAGAGTGCCACGCCCACTCTAACGCCCACAAACCGCCCAAAACTGTGGCTCCTACAGTTTTGATGCTAGAATAAAAATTTTAACTGAAATGTATTGTTCTCATCAATACCTATCGATTGACCCAAAAAAAAGTTTGCCACGCCCACTTTAACGCCCACAAACCGCGAAAACCTGTGACGCCCACAATTTTCATGCTAGATGAAAAATTTTAACTGAAATGTATTGGTCTCGTCGATACCTATCGATTGATCCAAAAAAAAATTTGCCACGCCCACTCTAACGCCCATATCGCTTAAATCTGTATTCCGCCGGTAGATGGCGCATTTTAATCTCGCTTTGCTGCTTGCATATCTCCATATAGCTGAGTAACGGGTATCTGATAGTCGAGGTACTCGACTATAGCGTTCTTCCTTGTTTTTAACTAAAAACCCCTAAAATATAATGATTTCAGTGTTCCTAACATATTTAATAAATTATATAATATTTAAAGTGCTTAGTTTTCTTTCGTTTTTAAATACTTAATTTGCTTTCGTTTTTTAATTTATTTACAAATATTTTTCTTAGTGCCATGTCATTGAAATACCTAATAGACGGCGGTGGGGTCATTGAGTTCCGCGTCAAAATGTCAAGCACGCTGGGAAGCTTAGTGTGGGTAAATATTTTTCAATTAAAATCGCTGCCTGGGTATTTGCTCAGCACTTTGGCGACACGCATAAAAATTTAGTGGACTCATAGACGAAGGTATTTTGATACCGATAAAGGAGGAGGTTTCGCGGGGTTTCATTAACGCATTTCGAAGGAGAAATTAAAATTTATTCAAGCTCTTAATAAAGGTAATAAAGAAAGTAATGAAGGATCTCAATGAATCTGTAGTTAATTAAAATTTTTGTGAGGAGATAGTGATTAAGCAAATTTGGGAAATGAAAAAAAATACATTTAATTTAATACAACGATTTGAAAACCTTCCTTCCATAAGAGTGTAATACGATTTCATTTGAATTAAAATAACAAATTACTCGTAACCAGTCTTTTAAAAAACTCACAATAATCATGGCCTTTGGGAACAAAAACTTTTACGAAAACTAAACTTTTCATAACTCATTTTGCAGTTGAGCGAGTTCAAGTGGCCACCTCCCTGCAGACACAACATCAAGCATACGCCATGTTATCAACGTTTAAAGCATATTTTAGCCACACACTTAATTACCCGAAAAGTCAAGTCGGAAAAAGCTGAAGCACTCGTTCCCTATCTTTCGCAAAATGGTGTGGATGAGGAGGACCCCGCCCCCAAAATGCGGTGCTTAACTTTTCAACTGCAGCGGCAAATGGAAACCTCGGTGGCAACAAGAACAACGAACAACGATCAAGCAGCAAATGCCCTGCAAAGTGTCGATAATTACCTGTAAAAGTTTGAGCCAAACCATTAGCAGCATAATGAGGCCTGTCTAGCATAGATTTCCCAGCCGGACCCAAGCAGCCGTTTCTATCGTGTGGCGCATTTCGAAAGTCCCTCAGTCCCTCACCGCAAATTAAACAAAAACGGAAGGCTAGCGAGTTGAAGAGGGGCAGCAAAAAACAAAACAAAACCTAAAAGAAAAAAAAAAAAAACAAATACAGAAACACAACTAAAACTTTCACCCATTTGAACTTGGGGCCAAATGCGGGGAAAGTAGCCGGAGAAAAGCAGGAGCCAGAGTAAAAATAATGGCAACAACCACACTTGACTGGCGTTGAGTGGTTCATAATTAAAGGGGAAAACCCCAAAAAAGCCTTGAACTCATTCAACTGGCTGTGGCTGCATTGCGTGCAGTTTGGCCCCAAAGTTGGCCAAGTTGCACAGGCCGCACAATTGTTGCACGCACATAGTACGACCACCGTCAAGTGGAGTGGAAAAATGCCTATGGGCGTGTCCCCACCCGAGGGCTAACTGCACCGAAAGAATGCAGTGAAAAATCTTGGAAAATATTAGAATTCTCAAATATACCTTAGACCTAACTGCATCCGAAAAATAGAATGAAAAATCTCAGCAATCATAAGCGTTCCCAAAAAATACCTTACAAATATTTAACCAGGAAAATGTCTAAAACTGATTTTAAAAGATATAAATCTTATCATGTTTATAATCAATTAATCATAGGACATGAATAATTATATTTTATAAAAAATTGTTTAGATTCATACTAAGAAAAATCGCGATTTAAAAAAATATTAAAATCAAATATTTTGAAACATTTATAACAACATTTTTGTAGGTGTACAAATCTGTTAGATTGCATATGCATATATAGACATACACCTCAACACATATTCATATTTTCTTTGAGGCCTGGCCAAGTTTTCCATGGACTCTAATTACCATCTTTGACTTGAAGTTGGCGTGGCCGAAGCAACTTTCTGCCTGGGTTAATTTCTTAATACTGCACTTGATTGCTGTTGCCTACTTTTGAGTGAAATTTGAGTGCAGAATGATATTGTGGCGTTGTTGAACTTGAAAGTGTAGTCTTGTTAAATAAAATTAAACTAACCAATAGTATTTTCTGAATAGTTTCTTTTAAAGATTTAATACATTTCAATTTTGAAATCACATTTAATAAACATTGAAATTTCGCTTCTTTATAGATCTGCTGTTCTTCAGAGTAACATCAATGAATTCGTTATTTTGTTATAAAAAAATTCCCACATGATCATTTCTTGCCCTCGTCTTCCTTCTTTTTGCCCTTGGCATCTTTTTTAGGATCCTTTGCATCTTTCTTGGCATCCTTCTTCTCGTCCTTTTTCGGAGGGGCCTTTTGGCCCTTTTTCAATGGCTTGCTGAGATCCACAACCTCCTCCTTGGGTTTTTCGCCGACATTCACGGCTAGTAAGCCAGCAGCCAGGGCAATGGACAGAGCCACAGCCACATAGCCGGTGGCATAGATCTCTGGGATCGTGAGAAATTTGTTCAAGTACCAGATCATATGCCGGGTGCCGGCCACCAAATGGTAGGCAAATGGCATCACCACCATCACCTTGGTCATCGTCACAAGGCCGTGACAGTCGCATTTCTCGACCTTTTTCACAAATCCCTCCATATCTCCTTGCAGGACGAGTCCTCCGATGCCCAGGAACCAAACGAAAACCGCCAGGACAAAGCCGCTAATACGCAAGAATGCCGACAAGGTCGAAGTCAGTTGGATCTTGTAGATGGACAAGTGGGGCGACAACGCGCGTCCCATCAACATATTGCGATCATCATAGGGCAAATCGGGGGGTGGGCGAAAGGGTGTCACTTTTAGGGTGACTGGCGGCACCAGGATATTACCACCAGGACCAATTGTAGTGGGTCCACTAGCCATAACATCCTTCGATCCTTTGCTAGCCAGCAGGCGAGCCGAGTTCAGCGGTTTATGGATGAGCAGCTGCCTCAGGATCAGTCTGCTTCCATTTTGACTTCGTGCCATTAGGCGACTAAGAATACACTTATAAGAAAAGATTTTTAAGTTTATAATTCGCTTACTCACCAAGCGTACATTTTAAATACAAATTTACAGTCTTATTCCCTAAAAAACAGAGTTTATGTCAACAAACTGTCAGCAGTTCTTATTAAATATTTGGAAAAGTAAATTTGTGACATTGAAATCTTTAAGGGAGATTTTCATTTAAAGAAAGAATAAGAGAATAAGAGCAACAAATATCAAGAAAATATCACCACTGTTTATTTTTCCTTCTCTTTTCACATATGCAGAGATTAATACATTTTTTTTCAATTCAGATGGACTGATGGAAATTCGATTGACGCTGTAATTTGATTATTTGGCCAAGGACCTGAGGAACTCATAAATATCCTGTGCATATGCCATAAATTTATGCGACGATTGGATGAGCTAAAATTCGATTTGACGATGGCCAGGCGGCTTTATTAGATTTCTTTGGATTTACCTTCCTACCGACATTAATTTACCGCTGGATATTTTCCTTTTACCCAGCAGCTTCAATCATTGCCAATTGAAGTTGGGGCTTTCCGCCCTAAAAGCATTCCTTCAACCGCTGAAATTTCATTTGCAGCTCTTTGCAAACATTTGCCTAAATAAATACGTCGCACACAACAAAGAAACCCTAAAGAAACATCTATACACACTCTCAAAATCATTTCAATTTAATAAAATTCATTTGAGTTTTGCGTGGCTGCGGTTTTCCTTTTGCTGGCTTGACACATTTCCTCCTTTGTGAGTTGGGAAAAGCTCGGAAAACTTCACGCTCAATTAGCATCTGTTATCGTTTGCCTTCGTCGCAGACCGAAAATTTATTCTTTGCCACACATCAAAGACTTGCACTCAGTCACTCTTTCGCCCATCGATCAATCAATCAATCAATCATTTGCTGTGAAAACATTTCATAAATCAAACGCATACACAAACGAGAGAGAGAGCCAACAAAGCACACAAATACACGCGGTCAGGGGGCCAGGTTAATAAAATTAAAATTAATCGAATCAGTAGAATTGTAAAATGCATTAAGGCTTAAGAGAAGCCGAACAAAGTTGGCCTTGGCCAATGCCGGGAAAAGTTTCCATGCCGCTTCAAGTGTATGGAAAAGTTCGTATGAATACGTGTGTGGAAAAGCATGCCAAGGAGTCATTAAGCTTATATGGGTATACTCAATGTAATGATAAGGCACAGGCGACCAAAGTTTCCATATAAAAGAAACCTACAACAAAGGAGCCCTTTAAAAATTAAAAAAAATTTTCTTTTGATGGTAATTTAGTAATATCTGAAATTTTAAATAATATCAACGTATGAAATGATTTTCTTTTTTAACTTATGTTTTATTATAAATTAATATAATTTTTTCCTATGTTATACTTATAGAGTTAATAAAATTTTAACAACCCTTGTCGCCTGTCATATTTTCACATATTGTAAATAAGTTGGATATACTTTGTTCATATATGAATGAAAAAATGTTTTCAGCTGAAAGGCAAAATCGTAAAAGCAAAGCATGCTCTGTCCTCGTCTCTTTCTCTTTCTCTGAACCTCGGCTGCTTTCTCCTTCTTTCCCGCACTCACACAGACGCAGAAGTCAGGCGATTGCTTTTGCCTTTCAAGGAACTCAATATGCGTATCCGTGTTTAATTAAGATTCGAGTTCGTGTCGGTGTGTGAGTGCCTGTGCCGTTGTGTGCGTCTGCGTCTGAGGCATATGAATAAATGTATGAGCGCATGCATTTAATTTAATTTTCATTTCAATTGATTCGATGACTTTACGTTTCATTTCACGTCTCGATGCGATTTCAATTACAACACTCCTCAACTCATGAACACAATCACGAAAGGAAAGCTTTCACCTATGCGCGGATAGAGGCGAATGTGTGCGGCAAGTTGAGACTCAAAACCATCGACTGATTCGAATATTTATTTGCATATCCTACAGTTTCAGCCAAGGACATATTAAGGTATATTTTAATTGCAGGATATCCTGAATAGTTTCTAAGTTATAAAATTTAACAATTTTGATATCTTTATTTTATTTACTTTCTATTTTTAAATGAATATTTTGATTTTTGTATTAATGTCACACAGAAAACCATACCCAATTCATAAGTAAAAACTTTAGAAATAAATGTAATTAGAAAATGTTATAATACTGAATACAATATTCTTATATTTAATCACAATTTGAGTATTATTTAATATGGTTCAATTTTATTTCCTCCTATTTCTGATATTATAGCTTACTTTTAAATTATTCTACAACTTTTTCTCTACTCTCCTTGACTACATTTTGGTCTTTTTTTGGCCTCATTGTCCATGGATTCACACATAGTAAGGCTTAAAAGTTTACCATGCACCTTTTCACAGCTAAGCCGAAAGCTAAAAGTAAAAGCCAGCCGCAAAACTAAGCACCTGCCTTTTTAGCCACATGATTTCGTTTTGCCCAATAAGGCGGCATACTTTCAGGTGCCATTGTTACGCATTTTTTGTGGCACTTTGCTGCTGTTGCAAGGCTGCGACGTGATTTTCTTTCCACATTTGGCAGCCTAAGCTTTGGTTTTTGGAACTGCTGCAACACAAAGCCATTTTTTGTCCGCCTTCAGTTGGCTTTTCCCTTTCTCTCTCGACTTTTTCTGGCTCTCGGTGTTTGTGTGTGTGTGTGTGTGCTTTCTTTTTTCTGTAACAAATGCAACGGAAAACCTATTTCCTTTGTGGATATGAGTAGGAAAATGCTTGTTAGCGCCGCATTTGCCACAATCTCATATGTGTGTGTGGGTGCAGAACCTTGAACTTGTTGCAATGGATACGAAAACTGTTAGTTTTCCTCTACTTTGCCCCTTTTTTGCCCCTTCTAACAATGCTAATTTCATTAGAGCAACTAAAAAGCACACATACACGTAAATGAGCGCAAGGACAGATCGTGGCTAACAACGTTCAACGTTTCCTATAAAATGACAATTACAATTTCGACAGCAAGGCAAAATAAAAGGAAACCAAGGAACATCGAAGTGAAAGCAAACTTTTAATTGCGCATACGACAGGTGTGACACGGCCAACGCAGCAGCTCAAGTTGTGAGAGGGTGTGCGGGTGTGTGCGGGTGTGTGTGGGTGTGCGGGTGTGCCTGTGTGAGTTTTGGTGAAAGTTTTTCCAACGATTCCATCCCAATTAGTGGGCCACAGAAAACAGAGAAAAACATTTGCAACTGACAAGCATTTTGACAAACGTCTCTTGGACTAATTATAAACATTATTTTATAAAACTGGAAAATGCTTCTTAGGGTAGTATTTTTTTAAATGAATTAAATACGAGTTCGATACTGTGGTTTCTAAATGTATTTTTGGGTAACTAAGAAGAAATGAAAGGCAGAATTTCAGAATACTCATTATTAGACGTCGAATTGTTTGCAAAATATTATTTTAAGCAGGGAATTACTAACGACCTTTCATAGGACTCAAAATATATACTATTTTATTATATTATTATATTATAATATTGTATTATATTATTATTTATATATTTTGTTATTATGTTTTTGAAAGAAATGGTGTTTTATTAAAGCATTGGTTGACAACAAATAATTAGATATGCAGCCAGAATTTAAAGTTCTTAATACTAGAAAATGTTGTTCTCAAAATAAAGTTTTTAACATGATTTTTAAAATTCTTTTAGAAAAATGTTAATGTAAATCTCTATGTTTTTTAAACAGGGTATTTTTTATAAAGTTCCATACCATCCTAACTAAATTTAGAACCCCAATCGGCACCTTGGATGTCGAGTTTCCCTTGCGGTCTGTGCCTTGTCTTAGTTGTCAGTTTGTAAAATTGAATTCTTGCCCGGTTTGTTTGGATTTTGAGAGATTTATAACACGACCAAGTGGGGGGGGGGGTTTGGTCCGAATGGCAATGGCCGCGTATCGATAAGCACAATGGCCGGCAGAGTGTGTGTCTGTGACAGTTACACACACACACACAGACCGGCACACACACACACCACCGCACATGCAGGAGCTCACCAATACCAACGCCCATCGGCGACAAACTTTTTAATCAAATTTTTTAACGCAATTTCTTTGACTACTTTTTGCTCTGCTCTGCTCTGTCCTTCTCTCTACTATCGCTTTCTCCTACTCTTTCTCTTTCTCCGGCTGCTGTTGCATATGCATGCTCAATTGTGTTTGTATTGGCAAAGGACATGCTTTGTGATTTATACACACATCACACAAACACACACAACAAAGGGGCTGCCGGGTGGTTTGCTGCCTGTGAGCAAACAACAGCTTTTTTTGATTTATGAGCGCTTTGGGTGCCGCCATCGTCAACGAAACACAAAAAATATAAAGAACCGACCAAAACAGCAAAGAATCGACAGCTGAATATATTGAAGGCAAAACTTTTGTATAAGTTCAAGTCGGCAAGTTAATAAAACTAAAAAAGGTCTGAAACTTTCATTAAAAGAACGAATTTTGTAGACGATTTGGAAGTCCTTAAAATACTTATAAATAGATACTTAATTACTTATTAACAAAAATTCTTAAGCTTGGCATTATGTTCTTATAATAATAATTAATTAAACATTTAACTATACTTAAGATACGCCACGATACGTCTTAGTTTCATCTTTAAATATTTATTTATTTATATTTTAAAGATGTTACTAAAGTTGAAAAAACTAAAACTAGCATGGGGGTTGTAGTGCTAGCTGCGGGGCCCTCGACTACATCTTTAAACATATATATTTTTATTATATTTAAAACCCAATAAAATATGAAAGCAAATATGAGTTCTGATCGTATCCAAAAGAAACCCTATATTTAAATAGCTGAGAAAATGTAAAATATTTTTCATAAGTAAATAGTACCCATACGACCAGCGGCATTCGAACAGGATATTTCATTAAAGTTCAATTTTCAACGAATAACAATTTTAATCTTAATATGTACCCGTACACTTTTCCATTTAAATATACGTTTAAATGAAGGCTATTTTTATATTATTAGTTATTTTACGGCCGCATATCTTTGGAATAACCATGATTTTTCAGGATATTACGTTGCCAGGTCAGAATTTTTTTCGCAATATCCTATTCTGGTGTCTGGCCCTATCGCCCATCGATTTTTATTAATCCCTAC